CAGACAAAGATAGCCCATGACCTAAGAGTGTGTCATGACCTTGACCGAAGGTCATTTGGGGAAGTTCAATGTCACTGGAAGAAAAAATTTATAATTCTTGTCCGGTCCATATCTTTCTAATGGATAAACTTGGTAGATTCTAATTTCACACAAAGATTGCCCATGACCTAAGGGTCTGTCATATTTACTTATGACCTAGACTCAAGGTCATTTGGGGAACTTCAAGGTCACTGGAAGAAGAATTTCAAAATTTTGTGTCCGGTCCATATCCCTCTTATGGATAAACTTGGAAGATTTTCATTTTAGACAAATATTGCCCATGACCTAAGAGTGTGTCATGACCTTTATCCAAGTCACTTGAAGAAAAATTTCATAATCATGTCTGGTCCATATCTTTCTTATGGATAAACTTGGTAGGTTCTTATTTTACACAAAGATTGCCCATGACCCAAGGGTGTGTCATGACCTTGACCCAAGGTCATTAGGGGAAGTTGTAGGTCACTGGAAGAAAAATTTCAAAATTCGTGTGAGTTACATATCTTTATTATGGAAAAACTTACTTCTGAAAAACCCAGTGGGGGGGTATTTTGTCCTGTTTGGACAGTTCAAGTTACTACATACTATCATTGCATATCTCCTTCTTTATGTTAAGATTGGACAGATATTTAGTTTTTAGGTCACCTGAGTAAACTCAGGTGACCTATTGCTATCTGTTTTCGTCCGTCGTCGTGCGTCGTCCGTCGTCCGTCGTGCGTTAACATTTGAACATTTTCAGCTTCTTCTCTGCAACCACTGAACCAATTTCAACCAAATTTGGCACAAAGCATCTGTGGGTAAAGGCAAACAAAAATTGTAAATATCATGTTCCCTACCCCCCAGGGGGCTGGGTGATGGGGGCCAATACCACTTAGATTAATGCAATTTTTAAAAATCTTCTTTACTCCTGGGCATCAAGCAGTCAAACTGTTTGCATGATTGTAATCAGCATTGAGTCCTTTACCAAAATTGTGAAATTCATGGCCCTGGGGTCAGGGGTTTTAGTGCTAGGGCGGGGCTAAATAAGTATATAGTGAAAATGCATTATTTCTTTGAAAATCTTCTTCTTTGCTCCTGGGTATTAAATAAACCAACTAAGTACATAGTTATGATAAGCAAGAGTGCCTCTACCAAATTTGTGAATTCTATGGCCCCAGGGTCAGGGGTTCTGGTGTTAGGGTGGGGCTCTATTGATTATATAGTAAAAATACATGATTTCTTTGAAAATCTTCTTCTCTGCCCCTGGGTATTAACTAAACCAAGTAAGTAAATAGCTATGATAAGCAAGAGTGCCTCTACCAAAATTGTGAATTTATGGTCCCAGGGTCAAGGGTTCTGGTGTTGGGGGGGGCTCATTGATTATATAGAGAAATTACATGAATTCTTTGAAAATCTTCTTCTCTGCTCTTAGGTATTAAATAAACTAATTTAGAGCATATTTTTGATGAGAAAGAGTGCATCTATCAAAATTGTGAATTTTATTGCCCCAGGGTCAAGGGTTCTGTGGTTGGGGGGGGGGGGGGCTCTATTGATTATATAGTGAAATTATATGAATTCTTTGAAAATCTTCTTCTCTGCTCCTATGTATTAAATAAACTAACTAAGTACATAGTTATGATGAGCAAGAGTGCTTCTACAAAAATTGTGAATTTTATGGCCCCAGGGTCAGGGGTTCTGGTGTTAGGGTGGGGCTCTATTGATTATATAGTGAAAATACATTAAATCTTTGAAAATTTTCTTCTCTGTCTCTGGGTATGAAGCAGATGAACTACTATATAGTTTTGATTAGCAAGGGCCCTAATCTTGCAGAATTGTGAATTTCAAGGCCCAATTGTCAGGGGTGGGGGAGGGGCTCTACTTATATACTGGAAATGAATTAATTGTTTGAAATCTGGTCCTTTGTATTTATAAAACATTTCTTTACTTTTTGATAGGCAATTTTAAGGGTGCCTTTTAAAAATTTGTGCAACCTGGGGTCAGAGATTTATGTCAGAGTGTTAGGGGCACTACTGATTATTGATGAATATTACTGATTAGTTGGAGTGCATTTTTATTCCTCTACCCTGCATATGGGTATTCAGTAACTAAGCTAAGCGACTGCTAAGTTTATTGTTATGATGATCAATGGTGCTCTTTCAAAATTGTGAATGTCATATAGCATCTGGCTTAAAACATAATATTGAATCAAATTCAATACACTGTAACTGGAAAGTTGTTGCATAATGCTCAGGTGACCTATAAGGCCCGTGGGCCTCTTGTTCAATAGTAAAACAGACTTCACCATTTTTCTCATATGGAACCTGTGGATATCATTTTGTGAGCTCAATACTCTCAGTACCTCTAGATTTTATTATACCCCACGCAACTAGTTGCGGGAGGTACATGTATAATGTTTCTGACTGGTCCGTCAGTCAGTCAGTCAGTAAGTCCGTTAGTCAGTCAGTCCTCTTTTTTTGTCAGCGCAACTCCTCATAAACCGCTGCACAGAATTTCGTCAAACTTTGCAGGTATTTAGGACACATTGTGTAGATGTGCATAATACCAGGAAATTCCGATTCCATTATTTTTTCCGGAAATTTCCGCACTTTTAACTTAGGCCTTTGGCCATACCTTGAATATAGAGATGAACAGTTTGTCAGCGCAACTCCTCATAAACCGCCGCACAGAATTTTGTCAAACTTTGCAGGTATTTAGGACACAATATGTAGATGTGCACATTACCAGGAAATTCCGATTCCATTATTTTTTCCGGGAATTTCCGCACTTTTAACTTAGACATTTAGTCATACCTTGAATATAGAGATGAACAGTTTGTCAGCGCAACTCCTCATAAACCGCTGCACAGAATTTCGTCAAACTTTGCAGGTATTTAGGACACATTGTGTAGATGTGCACATTACCAGGAAATTCCGATTTCATAATTTTTTCCGGGAATTTCCGCACTTTTAACTTAGGCATTTGGCCATACCTTGAATATAGAGATGAACAGTTTGTCAGCGCAACTCCTCATAAACCGCTGCACAGAATTTCGTCAAATTTTGCAGGTATTTAGGATACAATGTGTAGATGTGCATATTACCAGGAAATTCCGATTCCATTATTTTTTCCGGGAATTTCCGCACTTTTAACTTAGGCATTTGGCCATACCTTGAATATAGAGATGAACAGTTTGTCAGCGCAACTCCTCATAAACCGCTGCACAGAATTTCGTCAATCTTTGCAGGTATTTAGGACACAATGTGTTGATGTGCATATTACATGTACCAGGAAATTCCGATTCCGTTATTTTTCCGGGAATTTCCGCACTTTCAACTTAGATTTTTTTGCCATATTTTGAATATAGAGATGAACAGTTTGTCAGCGCAACTCCTCATAAACCGCTGCACAGAATTTTGTCAAACTTTGCAGGTATTTAGGACACAATGTGTAGATATGCATATTACCAGGAAATTCCAATTCCATTATTTTTTCCGGGAATTTCCGCAATTTTAACTTAGGCATTTGGCCATACCTTGAATATAGAGATGAACAGTTTGTCAGCACAACTCCTCATAAACCGCTGCACAGAATTTTGTCAAACTTTGCAGGTATTTAGGACACAATGTGTAGATGTGCATATTACCAGGAAATTCCAATTCCATTATTTTTTCTGGGAATTTCCGCACTTTTAACTTAGGCATTTGGCCATAGCTTGAATATAGAGATGAACAGTTTGTCAGCGCAACTCCTCATAAACCGCTGCACAGAATTTCGTCAAACTTTGCAGGTATTTAGGACACAATATGTGGATGTGCATATTACCAGGAAATTCCGATTCCTTTATTTTCCCGAGAATTTCCACTTTTGAACTTAGATTTTTTTGCCATATTTTGAATATAGAGATGAACAGTTTGTTAGCACCACTCCTCTTAAACTGTTTTACATAGTTTTGTCAACCTATGCTGATATTTAGGACATATTCCATTATATTATCCCAAAGAGTTTTGCCTATTATTCAAGAAAATTTCTCATGCCCCCCCCCCCCACCACTTCAAATTAATGTGTGGATTTGTATATTGTCAAGAAATTTTGATTCCATAATTTATCTAGAAACTTCATTCACATTTAAATGTCCTCATATGCAAGTCATTTTGATGTGAAGATTTTTTGCAATTATTGCCCTTTGTAATCTATACTATGTATTTAAAGTGCACTGTGCCTTTCATTAAATGTGTTTCACCGTCAAGTTATGGGGGAGCGTGGGGTATGTGAGCTAGCTCACTTTTTCTTTCATTTCTTGAGTTGTAGATTTATATAAAGTAGAATAAATGTCTATTTGCATAAAGTATAGGGACAGCAAAGTGAGACGGTTTTAAATCAACTTAAATGTGTATGCATTTTTATTTACAGCAAATTCTTCAAGCCAACAACAACGCTTCAAACTTAAACTTGATAAAATAGAGTTGCACCAGAGTGTTTCTGAATCTCATGCAAAAAATGCAGCCGATGATGAGGAAACACAGGAAAAGATGGAACCAGAAGATGATGAGGGCAGTACGACTGAAGCATCAAGCAGTGGACAAATATCACAAGATGATACCGACATTAACCCTACCTCATCCCATGAACCACAGGGGGCCACATCACCAGAAAAAGTACCAGAAGTTATGAATGAAAGAAAAGATTTTCGTCATGTTCCAGAAATTTTTGGAAATTTACAGATAGGTGCAGAAGATATTTCAGAAGATCCAGATAAAAAAATATCCATGACTGACTTTGCAGGACAGTGTTCATATTATGCCTCACACCAGATTTTTCTGAGTCCTCGGGCGTTCTTCATTCTGGTGCTGAATATGGAGAGGAAGTTTGATGACAAGGTTGGAGAAGAAGTGTGTTGTCAGGAAGGTTCTGTTTATGGGGGATGGACACACAGAGGTAGCTTATCATTTATTACATGTATGGCCCAAATCGTTTTCAAGCACCACTGCATCAGATCAAAATTTATTGTATTGACAAATGAAATTGCCATATTAAAAAGGAAATAAGTAAGTTTTCCATTTTCAGAACCTATCTGCCCCATTGAATTTTGAAACTTTAGACCTAAGAAACTTTTATCCTAAATGAGAATTATCTCCTATTTTGTTTGAATGTCCTTCTGTGAAGCTTTTCAAAGGCAATAAATTTGATATATTATGCCCTGAATTGTAAATAGCTTTGACATATAGAGTTACTCATCTACGTCTGCCATTTCCTGCAATCTATATTAAAGAAAACTTTTACAGGTAAATGTTTCTTTGTTTTTCAGATTATCTAGAATTTTGGATGAAGTCCATTCATCAATATGGCAGTGATAAGGCTCCTGTCATCCTGGTTGGTACACATTGTGAGAACAAAACAGAAAAGGTATCATTTTTAAATACTGCTATTTATTATGTACTCAAATATATTACTTTGTCATGGTTTTTCTGATTTGTATACATGTATATTTAATATACTGTAGAAGTACATTTTTCACGTGGTATTATTAACGCTATGTACATGGTCACAGATTTTTCGCGGAAAGGTTGTCCAAGCATCCTTATAAATGTAAGGCATGAAGTGACAGTCTAAGAAATCTCCATAATTTTCTACTCGCGGATTAATCAGAAAATGAGATTTCGCAGAATTATGATCCTGTGGAAAAAAGTATTTTTACGGTAATAATATCAGGTATACATGTGTTTCAAAAACTCTGGGGGAACAAATATTAACAATCATTGTATGATTATGAACATTATTTTACTATGACTAATTTTTTACCAAAAAATAAAATAAGCAATTTTTTTTTTCGTTAGGAAAAAGAATTGTTTTTCCGAGAAGTATGGAAGACTCTTGACATGAAGAAGAAGTCTTTGCAAAAACATATCGATGTGAAACGGCGATTTGCGGTCGGATTCCATGAGAATGAAAGCCTTGAAAAACTAAAGATGTCCATTGCTGATGTTGTATGCAAGCTTGATCACTGGGGTGAAGAGCTTCCACAGTCATGGGCTATGTTTGAAACATTCTTTCAGGAAAAGAAAATTCGCAAAATTTTGAGTAGGGTTGAACTTCAGTCTTTTAATGAAACATTGCCAGAGGGAATAAAGCTCCATACTATTGAAGATATGGATGCCATGCTGCAGTTCTTCCACGACATCAGAGAACTTATGCACTTCAATCAACAATTCCTCAATAAAGTTATTATCCTCGATGTTCAGTGGTTTGCAGATGCCTTTAGAAATGTCATAACAGATAAAAACCATGCACAAGAAGATTTATTTAATTTTGCCTCAGAATGGGACAAATTCAATGAAACTGGAGAATTAGATGAAGCACTGCTATCTGCTATATGGAGAATGAACAACAATGGTTACCTTGAACACAAAGAGGACATCATGATGTACATGGAGAAGTTAGGACTCTTAGCTAAAATGAGCGAAAAAACATGGTATGTCCCGTGTATGAACAAGATGCAATTTCCAGTGGACTGCTTCTCATCATACCCTGCCTCCTCCATCCTTTGCTACACGTTTGATGTTCTTCCTGTGGAAATTTTCCATCGCCTTGTAGCTACATGCATGCAGATTCCTAATTGGGAGATTTTTACAGATGAAGAAAGAGGATGCATTTACCAGACTGCAGCTATTTTCATGTTTCATGACCAGCACCATAACATCATGCTTGGAATGACTCAAACAGAAATTCAGGTCCAGGTGTTTGTTGTGGAGGGAGAAGTTGATGTTTTAACCTGTCACCAGATTAGAGAAAACATTGAGCGTATATTACACAATCTCTCCAACACATTCCAGAAAAACTCGGATTTCCAGGTTGCCTTCAAGTGCAAATCTACTGGTTTTTGTGACAGCAAAGAAAGCGCTGTCATTAGTGAATCAAAGTTCATCAAAGACATTTTTCTGTGTCCATCTTGTCCAGCAAGCAAAAAACATCGTATCATTAAAGAAGATATAACAAAATATTGGGAACAGGTAATTCTTCTGAAATGCATCAATACAGAAAACATATATTTGGCAAATGTAATCCAATTTATCATTTCTGATAATTTTATATTGAATAATGATATGACATTTGGATCATAGCAACATTCATATTTAATATATTCATTAAATACTGAGTCATCTTATATCCATTTTAGGATATTAATGTCCAAGAAAAATATATTTAAGATTTCATTTACCATTTAAATTTCTGTGTTATTTTATATATTTCTAAAAAGAAGTTTAGTATTTTTATCTAAATTGTTTTTTTCAGACAAACCAGAGTAATCCTGGAACTTCCACAGCTTCTGGACAAGATCTAGAAGGTCGATCCAGATTTGCCAAACTTGGAATGGCAACGAACGATGTCTTAAATCAGGCCTACAGAGATATTCTAAAGTCAGAAGTCCCTCCCTCTGATATTGAAAACAAGGTGAATTCATTATCAAACAAAGAAAGGAAGAATTTAAAGTTGAATCCAGATCAAGAAGGTCTTTTGAAAACAGCAAAAAATACTGGATATAAAGAATTCGATATTTCCTTTACATACAAAATGATAAGAAACATTTGTTCAACGATCCCCAAACCAACAAAAGGAAAATGGGGAGAAGAGCCTGCAGCAGGTGAGGTGTCAGTGGGTGATGATATCGAAAGAATAAGGTTTATACGAAATAGATTGGCGGCACACGTGAGCTCAGCTTCCACCCCTCAGAAGGATTTCGAAGATACCTGGTCATTGATGTCAGATATCTGTCAAAGATTGGAAGCCTTCACTGGAAAGAAGTACTTTGCTGAACTTAAGGATATTGAAATGCTGACCTTGAAAAGGGAAGATGAAGAATCTATTATACAAAAGCTTTGCCTGGAACATCACGAAATGTTAAAGACTCTCATGTCAGATATGCAAGAAGTCAAGTTAGATGTAAAAGATATTAAAAAAGCAGTTATGAAGCCAGAGAACACAGGTGCAATGAACAATGCATAAGACCTACAGTGAAAATCTTCAGTAAATACATGTATGCAACTTCAATGCTTATCTCAGCGAATTTCTCATTGACATCATTGATATTTTGCAATATACACCGAAGTAGGCATGAGAATTGGCCATCCAAGAATGCTGTTGAAATTTAAAGATAAATGTGAGGTTTTCGAAGCGTTGCCTTCTTTTTGCGGTATGGGAAATTCGTGGGTACATAAAAAAAATAAATAAAAAGCTGGACAATTTTGAAATTTTCAGAAGAAAATCTTCACCTAAAATACAGGTTGTTTATTCGTTTATCATTATTTTTATTTTTATTATTATTTTATAATCATTCATTTTTTTTTTTTTTTTTTTTTGGCTCAAAAGATTTCCTTATGTTAACTATTGCTAAATATCTTTAGTCCTTCGTCGTCAATCATGCATCGGTTTTAAAGTTTTGAATATTTTCAGCTTCCTCTACCTTGCTGAACCAATCTAAAATTTGGCATGTAGATTTAATACAAGAAGAGGTTCAAAATTATTAATTTTATGGTCCCTGTCCCTTCCCCTTCGGAACTTGGGAATTAAGCTAGAACTCTCACTTTTTAAATCTGATTATGTACTTTTGGATATCAAGCAGTCAAACAGTTATTGTAATTTTAATAAGTATTGAGCACGTAATCAAAATCGTGAAATTCATGGCCCAGGACTTTGGACTGAGGATGACGCTCTTGTGATGATGTACAAACTGTAGTGAAAGTGCACATATGTTCTCAGTCGCTCTGCATATTAAGAAGATAAGGTTAATTTATAATGTGGAGCATGTTTGCTTCCATATGTCTCCATATGAGTGAAAAATTCTTTAAAGGGACGTTAATAGGAACAGTCAATCAATCTAAACTTCGATTGGCAACAAACGATGGGTCTAATTCAAGGAATCAGAGATATACTGGAGATGGAGGTTCTTCCTACCTTTGTTTATAATTAAGTAAAAGCATCAACAAATTCTCTCATTGATCTCAAAGATTGACACATTTGTTCCGCTATTCCCAAACCAAGAAAAGAAAATGGAGAGTGGAGCATTCAACACAAAAAGAAACAGTGGGAGATGATATCGAAAGAATTGGGTCAATTCAGAACAATTGACGTGAACTCAGCCTCCACCCCTCAGACAGAATTTGAAGACACCTGGTCATTGATGGCAGATATTTGCCAAAGTTGGAAAACTTTCACTCTAAAGACGTACTTGGATAAACTTAATAAAATTAAGAAACGGACGTTATAAGAAAGGAAACTGATGATGCTATTATTGAAAGGATTAAAATGGAAAAACAGCATGAAATAAAATGGCAATAATGTCTGATTTGTAAGATATTAAAACAGAAGTATTGAAGATTGAAAGCAATAATGAAGCAAATTGAGAGTATTATTTATAGAGCGTATGACTACATGAATGTGTAAATCACTAAACTAGTCATTATTGAATAGCAAGAATTTTGTTTGTAGGATTGGATACTTATATGTGACTTGTATATTGAGAAGTTAATCAAATCTCCAGAATTTTACACACTTTAATATAGTAATATTGTTATCGTAATTCTGGAACTACTGATATACAGAAAGGATGCTACAAATTAGGTGTATTAATCGTAAAACCTATGGCTACATGAATGTGTACATATCGCTAAACTACTTATCATCGAGGAAACAGTACTTTTTGTAGGATTTGCTACTTGTATTGAGAAGGTAATCACAACTTCCAGAATTTTTACACACTTTAATATTTTAATATTGTTATCATAATTCTGGAACTACTGATATACAGAAAGGATGCTACGAATTAGGAGTATTACTCGTAAAACCTATAACTACATGATTGTGTATATCACTAACCTAGTAATTATCGAATAGCAATAATTTTGTTTTTAGGATTGGATACTTATATGTGACTTGTTTTGAAAAGTTAATCAAAGCTCTAGAATTTTACACATTTTAATATTGTTGTCGGAATTCTGGTGCCAAAGATTCTAATGAATTTATCCTTTCTTTACAAGAACCCAAAGATAGAGAGAAATTCGAGGAAAAGGGCAGAGGAAAGTCACATTTCAAGAAATATCAGAATGCAAATAACCATGCATTTACGTAGTGTGTACTCAATTATTTTAGTATGTTAATGAACTGTAGAAGGATTCGATATTTTTTTATACCTTAAATTGTGTCATGAGGTCATTGTATTTTTCTTTGTAAATGATTTTACCAAAGCAATGTTCGTTATTTAAGCAAGATTATTCTTCCATTATGTGTACATGTAATACGACCTGTGTTATTCTCAAGTTGTTGCGTTAAAGTTACTAGTACAGTGTATAATCAAATACCTGTACAGTCACTTTCAGACTTGATAACCCCAAACAAAAAATACTACAGTATTAAACTAAAGTTTAATACTTTACTTAACTATAGCATCAATGTAAGAGCTTTGATAAACATGAACTATAGTGAAAACTTTGGAACTTTAATTTACCACAATAAAGAAAAATTGATTTATAGCAGACAAAACTTTTAACATTGATATTCTTTACTAAGAAAACTAAAACTTTGGTTTACTGTAGTAAAAACAAATTAAAATCAATCCGGTACAATTGTTCATTATAGTTACAATAGTACATGTAAACTTTAGTTTATTAAAGAATTTTTTTTATTGAAAAATGTTTTTATGAATACCAAGATGAAAGAATCTGGGGGGATTAGGCGAGTCATGTCCCAAAGGGGTTTTATAACTCTGTAGGCATATCGAAATTTCATAGTCGTAATATTTACCTAAGCATTTAAACTTTGTAGAGCTCTGTCCAAATAACAATATTTACATTTTCAATAAATTTCCCCTATGATTCTTTACAAAATAAAATGCAGTTCATTTTCTAATGAACTACATATAACATATGTACCACGAATAAGCATGGATATTTCTATAGATCGTTAGCTCTTCTGAGCCAAAAGCTCAAAGAACTAATGTTATGGCCATTTGTGTGGTTTGCGGTGTGCATATACTTTTTAGAAAATAGGCCATAACTCAAGAACCCCTTGACCAATCAGTACCAAATTTGTCACAGGGTATCCTTGGCCCAAGGCTACCAGTTTTACTAAAATAAGGGTTGGGTCCCTTAAACAAGGGGAGAAAATCGGGAAAACAAAAACCCAAAGCACTGGTTGCTAAAAATCTTCTCCATAACCACCAGGCAGATTTTCACCAAACTTACATACAAGGATCAGGATATGTCGAAGATTAAAATTTGCAAGAGGGATTACCCAGGGGCAAAGGGCATGGTCTCAAGGTCACTTCAAAGTTGACCTCAATTTTCAATTAATAAAAATGTGTATATTTTGCTTACTATAAGGACTAGGATCATCAAATTTTGCAAGTTGATGGATCTTACGACTTCACATCATGGTAACTCAAAAGTAAGTCACGATGACCTATTTTTTAAAATTTTGCGGGGATTTGTTTTCAAATTGATTTGAAGGCATATTTTGAACACTTTAAGGCCTACGATCATAAAACTTTGTCAGTTGATGCATCTTGGGTCCTCGAGCACTGTCAACTTAAAAGTATGTCACCTTGCCCTACTTTTTGAACTTTAAGACTAATCCTTTTAAAAACATTAAAACCCATTATTTCAGACAATGGGAGGTTTAGAATCATCAAATCTTGTACTTTGATGCATCTTGGGACCTTAAAACTGTTTAAAACACATATTATGATGACCCTTAGACCTACAATCATCAGACTTGGTGAGATGCATCTTTGGTCTTGAAAAATTTCGACCAAAATGTAGGTCACGATGACCTACTTTCGACATTTTATAGCTATATTATGTATCTTAGGTTTTAATTAACTTAGAATCATCAAACTTTGTGAGTCGATGCATATTTGGTTTTCGAATAGTATTGACAAAATAGTAGATCAGGGTGACCTACTTTTGACATTTTATGGCTTTATTTAAGTATCTCCGGTATTTATTGGCTTAGAATCATCAAACCTTTTGAGTTGATGCATCTTGTGTTTTTGGAGAGTGGCGACCAAAAAGTAGGTCATGGTGACCTACTTTTGACATTTTGTTGCTATAATTAAATATCTCTGGTAATTATTTACCAAAAATCATCAAACTTTGTCAGTTGTTGCATCTTGGGTTTTCTTAGATTGTCGACCAAAAAGTAGGTCACAATGACCTACTTTTGACATTTGATGGCTATATTTAAGTATCTCAGGCACTTATTGGCTAAGAATCATCAAACTTTTTCAGTTAAGGCATCTGGGTTTTCGGAGAATGTCGATTAAAAAGTAGTTCACATTGACCTACTGCAGAATATCTCAGGTACATATTAGCTTAGAATTATCAATCTTTCTCAGTTTAGGCACCTTGGGTTTTTGGAGAACGTCGAACAAAAAGTAGGTCACTGTGACCTACTTTTGACATGTATGGCTATATTTAATTATATCTGGTACTTATTGGCTCGGAATCGTCAAACTTTGTCAGTCAAAGCATCTTAGGGTTTCATTGAATGTCCAACAAGAAGTAGGTCACGATGACCTACTTTTGAATATCTCAAGTACTTATTTAATTAGAATCATCAGTCTTTGTCAATAAATGTATCTTGAGTCCTCAGAAAATTTCATTGAAAAGGTAGGTCACTGTGACCTACTTATGGTATTTTGAAATTATATTATAATATCTTCAGTCTTAAATGGCTAAATATTATCGAACTTTATAAGATGATGCATTTTGGGTCTTATGATACTAATAAAGTTGGATCGTCTAATGGAAGTGATAGATTGTACAATTTATCAGAACAGCGATTCAAGGCCCTTGGGCCTCTTGTTACGTCATAATATATACCGCACTTGATATCAAAACATATAGTGCACACTGTTTTGCTTCAAAAATGATTGCTGAATGGCGTGAATGTATGGCAAGTCATCAAAACAATAATGTTAATATAAGAAATGAATTGAATTATTGACGATTAATGAGGTATATTAACTACAACGCTTCACGCAGGCATATTTATCATGAAGCGCTGACGCGCTTCATGAAATATGCCGGCGTTAAGCGTCGTTGTTCATAACCTCAAGCTTTAAAAATTTCAATTCATTCTTTAATTACTATATTTTCAAACCTTTATTTCAAATCGTTATTGTTACGATTCGACTTAGTTTTTCCCAAGTACATGCTTTTGACATCATTTGCATTCAACGGATATAAGTACATGTACTTGGGAATCTATGAAAACATCTGTTCTTGACTCACTTGGTACTACCATGATACCTTATCTTGCATTACAAATTACGCATTTTATGTGATTTTCCAGCAGACACAAAAGAAAGTGGTATACTAGGTCTACTGGTAAAATTATCTTTTGGCGCACACTGTTCTATAGACTTGGCATTAATTCTGCATTTGGTACAGATTTCACTTTTATCATCTAGTTGATATCCATGTTCTATCAAATATGTTTTCATGGGTTGGGAGAAAGTACATGTACGTTTAGCGCTTCCTTTTATCTGTTATTGTATACAGAACAGTCATATCGAGCTAGTATACCCATGATTTTTGACATTTTAGTTTTGTAATGTATTGTCGAACTGAATGCATTTAACATGTTATATATCTTGAAACCTTGTTTATTATAGGAAATATATTTATTGACCGTAAATAAATTCGTTATTTTATTTATTTATTTTTTTTTAGTGAAAAAAAATATATTTATCTAAAATTCAACCCGAGATTTAAAAAAAAATCATAATACGATTCGAACACTCGCGACAAGTAACTAGGTGGTTCAACATCGCTGCTCAATTGCATCATTTCGGGTCTTTCCGTCAAAGCTCGGAAAAACAACCTTGAATGTATTAACATCACCGGATGTTAAAAATTCATACATTTCTGTTAATAAAATATAGGATAGACGGAGTTAGAAGTCCCTTCTATAGTATATTTAAGGTAATATCATTACATTGAATATTTTTAAACTCCATATTCCACAGATAAAATGTCTTCATGCATTTATTTCCAAGATCGTGGAAAGGGAGGGTTGTCATGGCGTCTACCTTATACATTGGAAGTTGTTTTTCTGCTAGTCGGAAAGGCCCAAGAAGTTGCGATTGCATCGCTGCTATGACCACGAAGTCGCACATACATAGATCTTTATTTAACAAACAGTTCTTTATGTATATCAAACGTACATAAGACTTAGAGTTTCTGAGAAAATGTTCCGAAATTGTGAAATCCTGGGGTAGTGAAGATTCTTAATTGTTCAAATCATGACGCCCGG